TCAAGGTTCATACGGCGTTCTTCCCTCGGAAAGCAGAACGGGAGGATAAAACACAGTGTGGAACATATCAAACACGCACTTCCTTTCCACGTTCAACCTTATTTGATCTCGGATCCTCCCTATTTATAGCAGACGCATTCTTCGAAAAAGAGAGCTATTCGTTTTGGCTTTTAATTAGGATTGGAGCGGTTTTGATGGATTGAACGTTCATCGTTTCAGGGGGCGTTGAGTTCGAAATGAGGCGGAATTGGGGGAAATTAAGATACTCAGACATCGTTCTGAGGCATCATTACATGATCTCGAATCTGTAAACTTTGCTAATTTTTCAGGTCCGCTCCGCTATATGACCTCGAAACTCAATCTTAGGACCAGCGCAGCGGCGAGGCGCGAATGGTCGGTTATCGATATTTTCCCATTTGACGCTATGGTAAAGAATCGATTATTAAGGTGTTCGTTGCCAACGCCCTGTTCACCAATCCTTTTTCATAGGTTTAAATGGCAGATCAATCGATATATCGAGAAGACTCCTCATTAATTTTATAGATCTCGCACTAATAGAATTGTTTATAGTGTTTCAGAAATCTTAATAATATGTCTTATTTCAGAAAAGCAGACTTGTTGCAGACTTGGGAAAAAGTATTATACCTCTTGTGCAATAATTTTATCTTGTATATGCATTATATTCTTTTGCACTGCACTGAGAAAAAACTATGGTTTATAAACCTATTAGAGGTAAATATGGAACACCTATAATAGTCGTAAATAAACTAATGATTCTCGGTCTGTGAACCATACTAAGGTCTCTGTACCTAATTAAGGTACCCCGTACCATAACTAAGGTATATGTGCTATTATTATATGTAGAGGTACTACTATTAGTGGTGTTCCATATTTACCTCTAATAGGTTTATAAGCCATAGTTTTTTCTCAGTGTGTATTATAATAAGAAAAAACTGTCTTCCTATGTTGCGGAAAAGAGAATTCATACCTAATAATTTCATCATTCACAGAAATGAGTTAACTCATACTGGACGCGTGTTAATAAATCATACCTATCAAACGCCTGTGATTGTCGACGTAGGCAATTTGTGTGGTACTGGAGCAAGAAGAGTTGCTTGATTGATTTAATCCCTACGCAGTGCTGACTTGAGTGCTTTGTAGCCAATAGATACTTTGGAGCCATTAAATTTGGTAAAATACAACTACTACTACTACGATCTTCTGAAGGAAAGTGAGTTGTGAGTACATACTCATGACTGATGTGTGCTTTTGACAAAATAGAAAAATGCGAGTAATATAACTCAGTGTATATCCAAAAAGTATGTATATTGATTCAATAATGTATAGGAGAAGAGCCAGAGTATTCTTGAGCATGAGTTATTCTGATAAATAGACTCACAGTAAGCGTTTCGACTTGATCGGTTACATTACCAATTTGTTTGGAAATTGCCAATCATTGATGCAGGGTAATTTTACGGCCTTCCAGGGGTTTTAAAATTTATTACGATAAATTTACCAAATCTATCTTCCGATGCACCGTCTTTGGTGAGAGAAGTAAGAAAATTGAAAATCACTTAACATCTTAAATGTTCCTCTAACAGAGTCTCTAGAGAGGAAAAGCATTAGTGATTGTCATTTAAAGAATAAATGAAATGATTTCCATGCACTGAGCAACTAGGCAGAAGAAGAAATAAACAGAACGTCAGTTTAAAAATTGCTTTGTGACAACTCTGCCTCTTCGGAAGTGGAGCAGAATGAGCGCATAGATTTTTTCCAGCAAAATTAGCTATGTCACCGATCACCATTTATCAGCCTCCACTCGACCACATACTAGCACTGTTGACCTAAAAACAAAACAAAAACCCCATGGCATAACATGTGGTTGATTCTTTACATGCTCGCTCTCCAAACTCCAACCTCAGGAAACGAGTATCCGCACTGTTCCGGCACTCATCTCGTTGCTTGTTGGGAATTGAGGAGCTTTCCGGAAGAGCCCATACCGAGAACTCGCGTTTCGAGAAAAAATCGTTTTCAATTCTGCCGTGCTAAGGAAAAGCGTCGTATGAACATTCGAGAGTTGCCACATTTTCCCGAATAAAGCATGTATTTTTGAGGAAAGTTTTGCATATTTTCCCTTGAATTTTCAGATATTTTAGATTACATCGAGAACAAAATTAACTAAAAAATTTAAGGAAAAGTATTGACAATTTTCTCAGTAAATTCGGCTTCTTTTGAAGGAAATTTGGCAACGTCTGAAGGCTCATACGGCGTTGTTTCGGCAGAAATTTCATAATTGTTTTCAGATGCGTGATTATCAACTCATATTAAACCTTTGACATTTACATCGAAGCTTATACGAATTGAAACAGAATTCGGCTAGCGGATAAATTTAGGTATCGTCATTGTGGAAGGAATGCTTTAAAGAAAACAGAAAAAAGTGGTATGTAGACCGTCCCTCTTTTGCAGATGAATCATAGGTTTTGACGAGTTTTTTCGACTTGTAATAAAAAAGAATGGACATAGAGATAGAAACAGAATCTCCAGTAAAAATTTCCTAATTATTTAAGGTCAGAGCCTGGGAGAAGAGGTTTTGGTTGAAAATGCGACCATGCAGCGTTCCCTTATTTCTCTAAGCGCACATCTTTAGAGGGCATAAGCCTTCCGGAATTTTTACTTAAATCCATAAAAATTGAATATTTATATAAATAAATGCTCAGTAAATGTTGTGCTTCCAAGAAACATGCAATGGTTTTAAAAATACTAATTCTCTCATCCAACAAGGCTCGCACACATTTCATTATGTCACTCTGCGTGCTTGAGGAAAATGTGTTACTCCTTTCAGGGCAAAATTTGATGCCGATTGAGAAATGTTGGAACTTTTCTCTTTACGAAAACCTCTTCCGCTCATAATAGGATCTAAAAATCATATGAGTGACAAATTGAAATGATGTAATTTTGAGGGTAAATTTTTGAAAATATTCATATTATTTTTAAGTAAAAGGATAGTAGAATGGTGCTGGGTCCACACTTTCCTAAGAGTTCTCAGGTCATATTTTAGTGTTTTCTTCCCTTTTTCTCCTTTGAAAGTAAAGGCAAGCATAACCAATGTCAAAGTGGTCATTTCAACCATATTTTTCTGGTTGAATGGAACGTAGTTAAGAGTTTCATACATGTTGAAACGGGTGGCATCGTTTCAGGCACGGCTTCTGTAGAAATTCTTAGGAGGGAGATTTCCAAAGTCCTCAATTTTACAATTTACATAAAAATTTTTGATACTAATTTAAGCTTTTTTCCAGAACCCCAAGATTTCCTCGAAACTAATACCCATTCACGCTCAACACACTCCGAACGATGCAACTGGTGCTTTGCCGGACGCAACAATGCCCAATAAAGATCTGATCTTGGTCCCTTTTCCCACATTTTAAACAAATACCTACATTTGTTCTGGATTAAAGTCCATTTGAGGGGCTTGCAGGACAATGCGCTTTGTGCAGTTTTTGCTATTTCGAGAAATACGTGTTCAATACGTTCAGAGTTTCTAAATTACATTGATTTTGATGGCGGAAAGAAAGTTCAAACTGACTTTATGATGCTTAAAAATTGGAAGCTGGGAGCGATTTTTTTTTACATAATATGCATTAAGGCTAGTTTCACAGGAAATCATTAATATCTCAGTTTTTTCAGAACTGAATTCAGGTGTGCTTCTTGTCCTCCAAGCCCACCATTACTAAATTTTTATGGGAGTTTTTTGTTGATGCGACTTTTTTACTTTCCAGGTAGTTAAGTGTGTTGCATTCTATACTTTTCTTCTCTCCTTTTTTGAGGAGGAGGGACTTTGAAGTGTTGAGAGGTGAAAAGATATCTCATAATTGAGAGCTGCTGAGAAATTTCAGGATGAAGATTAGAAATGTGAGAAACGATGTTATGTGCAAGTTGCAACCGGGACGGATTACGACTACCGCGTGTTTCATCGTCAAGGCCGTTACAAAGTTGATAGTTCTGACAGCACGTGTTTTTTCAGAGGCTAAAAAAATGGGGCTTGCACCTGACGAAGCGAGCTTGGAGCAGACGAGCGGGAAACGAGGCAAGAGCATGAGGTGAACGGGACAATGAACAGATCGCGCACAATTAGCACGGACTCCAAGAGCTTGGCAATTAGTCGGAGGAGTCACTACGAGTCTGTCAGTGGCGAAGCGTGATGGATCGATCATCGATATTTTCCCATTTGAAGCTATGTTTCAGAATCGATTATCAAGATGCTCGTTGCGAACACCCTGTTCATCGATGTTTTTACACGTGTTTAAATGACAGATCAATCGATATATCGTAAGGCACGCGATGCCACTGGAGTCTGTGAGCGCGCGTGATCCAAACTGTCATTATTCAGCGCCTAATTGCTCGCAGACAAACCCACCTCCGGAAGGTAAACAAACTACGATGTGGAGGATGACGAAGCTAAAATGAGTGACGGCAGGGCGCTTTGAATGGAGGAAAAACTTAGTAATCCTATCAAAACAGACCCATGAGAATAAACCATCAGAAACCTATCAGGAATTGGCCACGAGGTTTGACAATCAAGAACCAGGGTTCCTCTTGGAGCTACGAGGGTTCCCTCTGGGTCACTCCAGCTGCCTCATGGGTTCATCTTAGTGTTCTCATTCACCCCATAGGGACCCTCAGGTGTGCTTTCTCATCCTAGCAGGGGCTCCAATTGGACGTATTTCTGCTAAACGGAACTATGTGCCAACTGCAGTACTTTCTGAAGATTTTAGAATTCCGGATAGCCCGTTCTGTTAAACGGAACTAAGCGCCATGGAAAAGCATTGTGAGCATAGGACGAAACGCGCTTCTCGGTCCGGAGTACCCGGCAATCCAACCCACATTCCCCTTCTTCTCCCTATGGCGCTTAGTTCTGTTTCGCAAAGATAGTTCAGGAAGCTTATGGGCTCCCATGGGGCTGTTTTGACAGGGAACACACGTGAACGTAGTAGTGGACCTACCTGCTGAAGAAGATAGGGCTCCGATTTGGCAAAAAACACGACTAGAATAAAATACAAGATGCAGGCGATGACACTGAAGAGGAGACAAAAGCGGAGTGGCAAAGGGAGGGCGACATAAATGAGGAAGTCAAGGAGGAGGACCCAGCCGAAGGAGTCGCGAGGGCTGAGGCCGTGGGGCTGGAGGGCGAGATGAAGAAGGACTTGGAAGAGGAAGAGGCTGGAGGCCACGTGGGGGGCGACACGGTGCTCCCGGAAGCGAGTCCAGACGAGGACAACACACCACAACACGATGAAAGCACAGGTGACCAGCGGCTCGAAGCTGGGCAAGGTGAGCGCGTAGACGTCGTAGGCGAACGCGGCGAAGATGAAGCATGGCAAAGCGGCGCGCTTCTGTTTGGCGCTGTAGCTCCTGTAGAGTCGCTCGAGCGACGGGTCCGGATCTCCCGCCTCCATTGGCCTCCGCTCAACGACTAGCCCAGCCGCCGAGCCGCCCCCCGCGCCACCACCCGAAGCGCCACCGCCGCCCCCCGCGGACGCCCGGCGAAACACGCTCACGCTCACGGCTCACGCTCGCACACCGTGCACCCCCGAATCCCGATCGATTCCCAACCGGCCCCCACCGTCCCCCGCCAAGGACTCCAGGCCCCCCTGGCCCCGACCCCGGCTCCCCACTCTCACCGCTGCGCCCTGCCATGCACTCCGACCATCTGAGCCCCAAACCGCCCCTCCCACGCCCTCCCCGCTTCACCCCCTTCCGTCCTTTTACAAACCTCTACCCTCATCTCCACCTCGGCCCCGCGCCCTGTCACCCAGCGAATACTCTTCTTTTCACTTCAATCACAACCTCGACTTCGGGCCATAGGGCACACTACTCCGTTGAGCACTTAAGTCATCCCTAATTCCACGTTTCCTATTGGCCAAGCAACGTAACTCCATTCCAAGGCTCCAAAACTCACCCGAATAATTCAATTTTTTACCAGAATGTAGGTACCCGAGAAATTTTTGTCCAAAATTTGTCAGATTTTACGAGCGGAAAGAAATCATATGTGCAGTACTTATATCATCATGTTAATCATATGTATTGTACTTTGATAAGGAAAGTATGGTCACTGTGGTTAACTGGTTACCTCTTCTGATTGGCTCAGCCATCGTATGAGGAATAAAAATGGCTGACACAGTAGGTATATGTAAATACAAAATTACTCAAAATGTAGTTTCATTTGCATAAGGAGAGTATGGTCACTGTAGTTGCCACTTCTGATTGGCTCATCCATCGTATGAGGCCTAAAAATAGCTGACGCTGTAAATAAATGAAAATACAAAATTACTCAAAATGTAGTTTCATTCGCATATCGCAACGAGAAATGTACTCGAGTGCATTATTACGACGTATTTAGATAGTTTCACGGCTATTCGTGTACTATTTTTGAAAAAAATCGTCTTAGATATAGTAAGGTTGGCAGTAAGCGTGGTTGATGATAACCGTCCAAAGTTGGCAATAACCTCCAATGTTCGATGACAACGTTCCCTCCATCCTTTAAAACCAAAGCGAAGCGCCGCCATTTTTGGACCCCAAGCCCTCCGGGGCCCAGTATCCATACTCCCCATATAAAGGTGCGCACTAAGAGATCAGTGTTTCCAGTTGGAAATGCCCAGAATTCTCCTGGTGAAACTGAAATTTGCGAGGAAAAATTTGGCAACATTGAAATGCACGTTACGTTCTTTCGTGAGGGAAAAGACGAATTATGGATTCAGGTTTCGTAAACATCAGCGTATATATTCCCAGCGAAGACTCAGCGCCACTTTGACCTCCGATTCAATCAGGGTGTCATAGAAGTGCCCCAACTCGAATAATTTTCCACTCCGTCGCCTTGCACCCTGTTCGTGTTACACCTGCAGATGGAGCCTCATTAATCCGAATTGCAAATCCCTTCATCAACTATCTTTGAAGCTCTAAGTTCAGGCGTCTGGAACTCGCGCTTAGCTTCTCAGTGCCCTCTGCGACCCCTGCTGGCAGTGACTTGGCCTGAATGATCGATTATCGATATTTCCCTATTTGAACCTGTAGGAAAGAATCGATTACTAGGGTGTTTGTAGCGAAAACCCTGTTTATCGATCATTTTTCATAGGTTTATATGACATGTTAATCAATACATCGCAAAGCATGCCACCAACCCCAGGGTAACTCGACCTCTGGAGACTTTTCCTAGGCTCTTGGCGTGGTCGAACTGACATGCGATATATACGAGGGTTGATAACTCTTAGAACACAACGTTTCTTCCCAAGAAGAACTCTTCTTCCATTTTTCTAAATTTTGGAATCTCTTCAGTTGAAAATGATTCTTTAGGCTCTTGCGTGGGGGATGTTTTCTTTGTTTTAGCTGAAAATTCAGAATCTGCCGAGGTTTTTAAATAACCGATGCGATCAATCGCACGCCAATTTGACCACACTGAGAACCCGAGACAAATCACTTTTAGTCTCATTTTACGTAGATATTAGTTTTGCTTGCTCATCGCCAATGTGGCATTTCATGGAATTTTAAATCCCTCTTGAAGCAGTCTCAGAAATTTCTGAAAAAGAAATATATAACTGAGAATTAGGTGCCAATGATCAAGGTTTCTAGCATTTTACCCTCAGTTGCCAAAGACCGCTTTCATGCGGAAAGTCCCAAGTCGAGTCTAATTGACCCGTGCATTCGTTTCGATAGTTTTTGAAGTAGTATTACTGTTACTACTATATTTTTGAAGGTATGGAATATTATATAGGAGTATATATTTTTAATGATTTATGCATTAATGTTGTCACTTATCTTAGGATTTTTGTATGAATGGTGAACGGGGTTGTTAGATTGAATAATATAAAGATTCAGGATAGGAGTTTAACAAAACATGTAAATTGCAATTATAAAATAAACCAGGCAGTTTCTATCTTAAAATTGTGCAGAAGTATAAATTTACTTTTAATTTCGGCTTAAAATTTAAGAACTTCATGCTTCTTCGTACAATTTTCGTTAAAACCAAAACAGAGGTATGTTATTGTTAATAATAAGAATGAGTTATTTTCTAACTAAAATACCAGACTAAATTAAAAAAACTTATAAATTCAATGATATATCTACTATAATGAAACCAGTTATATTAAGTTTAAATAACTCGTGAACTCGCGATGCTCTTCTTTATGCTGCCAGTGAGTGAGGTGTTGCTTAGATTCGGGAGAAAAGTTAAAAAACGAGACCGGATTAGTTTTTTCATATCTTTAGCTGTGTTGCTCACGTAGACCTTAAAGCACCACTACAAATTGTCACTCCTCAGACGTAAGGGCGTATCTCAATTTAAACCCTGTGCTCCGTATAACCCTATGCTTAACAAACAAACAAATAAATAAATGTAAATCTAAATCTAAGTCTAAATCTAAATCTAAATCTAAATCTAAATCTAAATCTAAATCTAAATCTAAATCTAAATCTAAATCTAAATCTAAATCTAAATCTAAATCTAAATCTAAATCTAAATCTTTCCGAGGCTCATGTGGAAATCGAGATACGCCCTTACGCCAGATGAGCCAAGAAATGGGACAAACGGAAACAAACACGATGTGGATATTGAGCAAGGGAACGGACGCGCGCTGATGACGGCGCAGAGATACAACTATTCGTGCTTGATGGATGTCCGTGTTGCATCTGCAAATTTGAAGGCGCGGTGGAGCGCGGCGTGAACTCGCAATGCTGATGCTCCGCTCTATGCTGCCCCAATACAGCTTTACATTTCGAGGATGCGCTCGAGGTGTTGCATGCGGATTCAGCCAAAGTTGGCAGCTGCAGTGCTGAAAAACCAGTTCCAATTCAACTCACGTAAAATTACTTTTACCATTATACGTTTTAAGTTTTGAAATGTTTAAAGTTTAAGCATGCCTAAACATGCTTAACAAGCTTAAACATATTTTAAGTTTTCCCATGGAGCTATTGGGTATCTCTGATCAGAAATTTCACAGATTTTTCTCTAGGTCACGGAGGGCGCATGCAAAAAATAAAAAAAATTTAGATGTAAATTGGGCAGTCATATTTTTGTAAACATATGAAATGTTTCAATCAACTGTGCAATGCAGGAATGTTTTGAATCGATGCTATGGAAAATTTTTATTCTAATCATAGTCTCATCCCCCCTCCCAAGGTTTGAATAACTAAGGACGAATAACCGCTGAACGTTTTCTTTCGGGATAAATAGAAAAGGAAGAGAGTGAAGTCAAAAAGGGGAAAAGAGGAAAAACTTGCTATAGCTTTAAAGCACCGTTCAGTTGAATTGAAAGCCCCGCTATTATGTCTTCGTATCCGATTAGATATTCACCGGAATTTATCTTTCATACGAAGTATTTTCAATATATGCGGGGCTCGAGGCGCTGCGAAATTCAGTCATAGTTGATAGATGGTGCTGGAAAATCATTCCCATTTAAAGCAATGTAAAATATCAGAATTTTACGGCACAAGCTGGTAACCCTGAGTTCAACCCCGGACGAAGAGGGAAGAATTCATAATTTTCTCGCGCACAGAAAAAGAGAGGGACGGGCAGGGATATCCACTCACTGTCGAATGCAAACTTTAGCTCGGTGTGAGGCTTCAGCTCCAGTGGCGAGGCGTGAATGATCGATTATCGATATTTCCCCGTTTGAAGCTATGGTAAGGAATCGATTATTACGTTGTTCTTTGTAAACATTCCGTTTATCGATTCTTTTCCATAGGTTTAAATATCAGAGCAATCGATATATCGAAAAGCACGCGAGGACACTGCTCAGTTTCTGAGAGTAACTCCACATTGCCCGCACCTGACTCTCATCCCTCTACATTTCGTACTCGCACGGCTGAATCCAAGCTTCTTAAATACTTAAAATGAGCGATTAGTGTTCATAGCATCCTCAGGCATTGTCTCAGTGATTGTCATCTTTGCCTTGAAAGACCCATTCTCTTTCCTTTTAATCTTTTTCTACTTCAGTTTTCTGTAATTAGTTTCTCGTTTTCCTTCATTTAGCTGACGAACGACAAAATTGAACATAATTTACGCGATGCCGTGAAAAAGATGACTCCGGTGATACTTTTTAATTTAAAAAACAAGACATGCAATAATGGATTTCTTGCGGAACACTATTTTCCCGCGGTCTTAGCTTGGATTTTCCCATTCCCCATTTAGACAGCGGGAGTAGGGTGGAGATATTTTGTTTTTTACAGGACGATCGCAAATGGCCCGGGCAGATAATGTGCTCAGTTTTTTTATGGGTTAGAATTCGATAAACCACTCACGACATGTTACACGTCTTTTCAGATCATAAGGGAGCTCTTCCTAGCTTAAAGTTTTGCAGGTTGCATAACAGCAAACAACATTGAGGAGCCTTTGATATGCCAAGAAATGAACGGAAAACCTGAAATTCAAATGCATTTTCTCAGCCATTCGGGGATGTGCTCGAAAG